CTCACCAGGGCTGCCATGTCTCTTCTTTTCCTTCCTACAGGAACCACCACAGCAACCACAAATGCACCGACAAGCACTTCCACACCTACAACATCAGCAACTCCAGGTAAGAAGACAAATGGGGCACTTCTATAGCCCCATTGGGAGACTGATTTGGGGTCTTATCTGAGTCTATGGAGATCTTGAGCACTAGTACATGTCCTCAAGTTATGTCTCGAGGACATGAACTGCAGCATGCGATGGATACACTGAAAATGCTCAAGAGCAGAAGTAAGAACATCATCCTATYCTTCGGGGAGTAGTGACCTGCTTGACTTTTGACGAGAAGGAGAGATGTGAGGCAGACCTGCAAAGTCTTCTGACAGGGAATTTGCAGGAGTGGRCAAAGCACAGGGAGAGGGTGGCTGCGAAAGAAGGGATACCACAGATAGACATGCAGCGTAAGCCATACTGAGCAGCAGGCTGCAAAAAATGAGGGCAAGACATGACAGAGTAAGGCAGAAACAGGATTAAAAGGAAATGTTTTGAGACYTTATACCTCTGCCTCAGCATAGCCCACTGGCAGGGCTGCCATTTTAAGTAATTTTCCCTTTTCCCCAAAGGAACGCAACCTCCCCCTCAGCAAGAACTCCAGCAAGTAGAAAGCAGCAATCTATAGCATGTCTATAGCATGTTCTGCTGCTATAGAAGCATTGGCAGAGCTACAAGTTAATAGCCACATTATGGTGACAGCTATATGCAAAATTTCTTAGCAGCAGCTGTGATACATCTGAGACACATACACAGTGATAATTGGCTTAGGAACCTTCATTTTATTAGTGTTTCTGCAGTAAAATACCCTATATTCAAGCAATGAAGGACCAAAGATGCAAAGGCAGTTGTTATTTGCCATTTTCTAGCTTTATATGTCACATACTTTTTCTTTTTGCTTGCTTGCTTGATGTTTAGCTGTACTAAGGAGGCCTAGATTGTGAGTGGACAATACAATAGAAATTTAATTTCAGCTTATTCTGCATCCTCAATGCTCTCAGTGTGGTATCTTGTGTAGGAAAAASAGCTACTATACAGGCATTAAACAAACAAGCCATAGCAATGTATGGTTAATTGTATCTATACTCTGCAAAATGTATTTGGTAGCATCCTTTAAAAAAAAGATATATGGACTATATAATAGGCTGTGTCTGCTAGTTAGTGCAATTTCAAATAAATCCTCATGTCAAAATCTTTCTTTATGTCAGGAGACATGTGTAGCTCAAGACCCTGTGGAACTTATATGGCTAAATGCATTGCTCTACATAGCACTTTCGCTTGCGTGTGCCCATATGGATTCTACCATAAAGACAAGAACTGTCATGTAGGTGAGTTGCAGAACAGTGATCTCTGTTACCTCACAGAACTCATAAAACTAGAGAGATTTTTCCTCCCATATCCCTTGTTCTCATGTTATAACTGAAAACATAACCAGTCTGGGAAAGTGACTGCTGAATAACGCTTGCTCCGCAGCCTGCTGCAGCTACAGTGACCTAGATTATTATCTTGCAAAACAGAATTGCAGCCAGAGAGGTTAATGTGCTAGAAAAAGGTGTATTCCCTGGAGATTTAAGTATGTGAAAAGAAAGAAGAAATCCTAGTGTAAACTTGACAGTAATAGTTATGGTCAAGATTTTACAAAATTCGAATCCACGTAGACCTCTGAACAAATGGCTTTATTGTCCCTGTGGCCACACGCTCATCGCAGTGCTGTTGAAGTGCATTTCTCAGCAACTGCTGAGGGGCAAGCATGTGTGGAAATGGGGCCTCTTATTTAAGTGTCAGCACACACAATTCTCAAATTTACTTGTGAGCCTAAAGAAGGAGGTAGACACCGAATTGTTCCCTCAGAAATGTTAAGCCATGTCAGCTGATGAGTGGCTGTGGCTGCGGGGTGACACACCTTAATATACAGATTTGTTCCACTAAATGCTCTGACATCTTAGATGAGCAGAGAGGCTTGTTAGCTTCAGACCTTGCTTACAATTTAGCATTCTCAAGCTGCAATTTAGCATTATCAACCAAACCAGACCAGTTTAGTTGGGCCAAGAATCCTGCCTGCTTGTCAAGTGGCAGGCAGGAATGTACTTGCTGCTCCTCCAGTATGTGAAAAAGGGCAGAGATTAATCTCAGCAATGTATCTGCTCATCTCTGAAGCCAAGAGAACCCCCAAAATGTAAACTCTGCTTACTAAAATGCTCTCCAATTACTTCATGTCCTTTATTCTCGTTGCAGGCAAAATATTCCCAGGGCTCATTACACTGGAGTGGTCTTACAGTTCTGCTGTTCAAGTGATAAACTCCACTATGTATGAAGAAGTTTTCCTCAACGTAACAGCCTTTGTGAGTGGTTTTATTTTTTTCAATCTTGCATGTATATTTACTGCTTACCTGAATGTGATGCAGGCAGAGGGGACACATGCTGCCTTTAAAGTTGAGACTAAGATAGTTTCACTTGAGGAAACTACTTTCTTCAAAGAATGGTGCGTGCTAGTTTAAATCTATTCATACAGGAGCTGAATTTTGCTCTCGGATGAGTGTATGCGTGGCTGCTAAGTACAGGGATGTGTCTGAGATTAGGTAGTATCTGCTTTTGTAGTGTCACTTCTCTTCTGGGATGGTCTCACATATATTGCTTCCCATCTTGCTCCATTCCCTCCCAGCAACCATTAGGCCGAGAAGTTTTCCAGCTCATTTACTTTCCTATCTATGCAGTTTGCTAAGGGCTATATAACTCTCAGCAGAATGAGTAAATATAAAATAAAATGTAACAGGTTTTTTTTTTTAGAGAAAGCTATTGTTTCCATACAGCACAAACTTTTCAGAATGGTTGCCCAGATATGTCTAAATACATAAATATTAAGCCTCTTTCATAACCATATTAGTATGGTTTTAATGCTATTAATGACAAGGATATTACATACCTTGAGCATGCAGTGATAGTAGATGGAGTTTGGTAATGGATTTCCTGAGAATATAAATGATAAATTTATACTGCCATGCTGAGACCATGGATTTTATGTCGTTCTCTGGAAGTGAGGAAGGAGAGAGATTTCCCTTGGCTGGAGAACTGGTGAGAAAATGTTTGCCAAGTATCAATCAACAATCATCAAAATAGTTACCAAATTCTTCATCGCGTTATTATATGTTTTATTATTATATTGTATGTTATTAACATGTTGTTATATTACTTGCTATCATTTTGAGGGGAGAGTAACCAAAAAATGTCTCCTTAGAGAACGTTAAAAAATTTCCCCATTTTCATGTCACCGTTTCATGACCTAGCTGCAGAAGTCAATGACCTGCAGTGCTAACTCGCTGACTGGGGTGCAAAGAGGGAGTACCCGAGGGTGAACTTAGCAGCCAGCCAAACTTCGCCCACAAAGTGGCATTTGTTTGACTCCTGTGCCCTCATTCCTCTACTGCTCTCCCCTGTTTTGTTTTACACCTTTTTTATAGCACATGTGACCAGTCACCTTGCTTTATTTGTGCCCTGTACTGGCACGGTCTAAGTCCCCTAGATTTGGGGTCTCAGTGTTTCATGTGACGTCAATCTATGTTCCTGCCTGCCCATAATTCTAATTCATTTATTCATTTGTCTCTTACAGTTTCAAGGAATTTTCATAAATGAGAAAAGCTTTGGGCAGACTGTAATAGTGGAAATTCAGGAAGTTCAGGGAACTGGAACTGGGAGGTAAGTTTGCTTTTCCTGTGGGGTACTTAGCTCACGGAACGATATGGGATGAGCTCAGTTCAGTGTGRCTTCTTTTTTAAATAAGCCATTTTGGAGGTGTTTTTAAAGTTTCAGCATTGCTAGCCTGTTTTTATACCAGAGATTTCCGAGGTGCTTGTGAAATGGGGTGCCTGAGGCAGCTGCGTAGTGCATGTCTCACTTTTAATATCGTATAGGATACAAGCCTGGTGTGATAACTGGACAGTTTTGTCCGTGTGAGGTCTGACATGTCTCTGATATTGTAGCAGTTTACCCCAAAGTTACTGTGTAGAGAAATTAGCAAGGTCCAACTTGGAGTCTCAATATAATTTAAGAAATGCCCTCACCACAGGAGCCCACCGCATCTTATTTTGCCTTTACTGCTCTCCCCTGGTGGCAGGCTGAGTGACGAGGTTATTGACTGTTTTGTGGTGCCTGCTGTACTAGCAGAGCTATGAGGACAGCACCCAGCAGAAGGGTGATGGCAAGCCCTCGAGGCATGGTAACATCTCAAGGCACTGCAGCAATCTACCCCTTAATGACATTTGTGTGCATAGGGTCTGGCTGATGAGCAGGGCTCATCTGTGCTGTTCTCCCTGTCCTCAGGGAGGTCACTCTCAGGAGCTGGTCCAGATGGCTTGAAGTTAGTGTAGGTACCTCGAGAGAGCAAGCAGACCCCTTGACTTCACTGCAATCGTAGCCTGAATTACCATCACCGTGCCTCGGGATGGGCTCTCCATGTCAGGCCTGGGACACACCACAGCCTCATGTGAGTGAGCATCAAGCCATGGTCTAACAGATGAGGTGCTCCTCACAGCAGTTGGCCTGAGGCTGGCCCAGTAAAACCCACCAGTTTCATGCCAATGGCACACAACTCAACAGCCTTTACCTACCTTTATCCATTTACACCTGCATTTACCAGGAAGATGTCCACTAACAGATTTCCGAGCTTGAACTCATTTCCAGGTGTCTTAGTAACCACCTACATTGTGGGATGGAAGAAGTTTGGAGAGGGAGATTTGGCAGAAATCCTCTGTTGAAGATTTATATGAGATCCTTTGAATCTTATTTGGTACCATATGGACAGTATGAGACTTTCAATGACATTATCTATACTTTTCAGAGCTATGCGAAGAAGCAGTTCAGTGGATAATCCAATGAATATAACGCTAATGAACATCTTTGCTGAAAATTCAAATATAACAGAGGAAGACATTGCTGATGCAATAAATACATCAACAAGCAGTGGATATAGTGGATACCGAGGTATGTAATTCCTCAGTGGAGAAGTAACTAACTCCTAGGAACACAGGTTCCTGTCTTTAAAACTAGTTAGGACATTTCTGTGTGCAGCAAAGCCCTTCAAAATATGAGCCCTATTGATTTTTAATAATTAGAGCATTCAATCTTAGACAATTTTGAAAACTCAGACCATCATTGCTTGGCTTTTCTTGTTTGTTTGTTTGTTTGTTATTATTAAGGCTTTCTACTTCCTGTGTAGAGGGAAAAAAATGGAAAAATACTTATCCCCAAATAAGTAACAGCATGTGCATTTTAACCTGCTCAATGTTTTAAGTCACTGGTAATCAGATAGGCCAGTGTTTATAGAGAGATATGTGGCTTTGGTGAATAAGCCAGTGGATGAAACTGTCGTTAGACTTTGCTTCTTCCATAGCTGACCAAGATAGTYTTTCCTGACCTATATGAAATATCTGAGATAGGCTTTATCTAGGCATTCTTATGTCAGAAAATGAGAAGTGTGTGCTCCAGTGCTTTCTTCAGTCAGCCTGGGGGAGGTACACGTATAAATTATGCCTAGAAATGAAGCCTCAGTGATTAGGTATGGAACTAAGTGACTTATTGGACCTAAGCCAGTAGAGTGAATATTTTGTAAACAAAACACAATTTTTTTCTCACTTCCTATTTTGAATTTAGCTTTAGAAAAAAAAAAAAAAAGACATAGCTAATACTTAAGCCATGAACTGGACTTCTTTATGGGCTGAGTTTGGCCTCCAAGGTGACTATATCCATGTCAACCTATGACATTTTCTGTGTCCTAGTCCTAAATTTGAGGGGGAAACAGAAAGAAACAGCAGCTCACAATGGAGCAGAGCAGTTGTATCCCTTTGCCGTGTGCCATCTGCCACGCTTGGTAAACCATTGCCACGTCTGTGTGGAAGAAGTGGGTGTTCCTGGCCCGTGTGTCCTTGTTGAGCAACCAGCATGCTGCAACGAGCTGCATGCCCATAACCTTTTATTATCTCCGCAGAACTTTGTGAGATCCGGGTCAGTTGTGCAAAATGTTAAAGGTTAGTGGGGCTTTGTGTAGATTTTTTAAAGGCAAGTCACAAAATCAGCGTTCAGAATATGAACTTAGGGCTTCCTGGTTTGGCGACAGTTCCAGGGCTCTGAGAAACAAAAGGCCAGAAGGTGTGATGGAAACTGAACCTTGACAAAGAAAGAGGAGAAAGAGAAAAGAAAGGGAAAAGAAAGGGAATAGAAAGGGAAAAGAAAGAACTGCTCAAACTGCTTGAATTTTTGATGTCTGAAAGAAGGCTTGATTTTTTTTTTTTTTTTTTTTTTTTTTTTTTTTTTTTAGAATTACTAAATAACAATTTTATTTTTTGCTGGCCAGGTGACCTGCTTTATTAGCACTAAGATTTGCTTCCTTACTCTTTCTCTGTTAAAGCTACAAGCCACTGTGCAGTTTCTGGATGCGATCTCAGAACCACAGAGTGCAACGAAAATGGTGAATATGCAGAATGCGAGTGCAAAGAGGATTACAGAAAGACAAATTGGTATGATCGTTCTTGTTCAGGTAAGAAATTTTGCTACTTTCTGCTCCTGGATGACTGACCTGGTTATGCCCTGTCTCAGTCCCATTTTGGGAAGGTAGTCTCAGATGTGCTGAACTTACTTAGCTCTAAAAGTCAAGGACATCTGGCTTACTAAGCAAGCCATAGAAGCACGTCCTTGCCTTTCCCTTTGWACACATCCATAATTCTTTGTCAACAAAATAAATCACTAAAGGCTGTGAAAATCACCACAGAAATCAGTAGGTAACTAGTAGCTATTTAAAAGCATTGCTAAACTCTGATTAAGAACTGAAACTTGAATGAATACAGAGTTGAACCAGTTAAATCCTACAGCCTTCTCTGGGAGATATATTGGGCTATATTTTGGAAATAAGCTCCACAAGTTTCTTGGAGTCAGGGGTGGAAGGCTGGGTGCAGCRCAACAATCTGCTCAACAAAACACTGGCCAGTGTTGGTGCTTGTGGCATTACTTGCATTTTGGCAGATTTTTGTAGTGTGCATGAGTTAGGTGATTTTTAGGTTGGTTTTATTTCTTTTAGAGAGCCCTCTGTTTACATTTGTAACTATCTTCAACAACCCTGAAAGGCACCTTATTTTCTTGCTATGAAATCTACAATTCTCATCCCATCAAAAAAAACTAAGATATGAGATTTCAAGAAAAATGATAAAAACTACACTCAGAATAAGATCATGAGAGTTGGGTACAATAAAGGCCAGTGACATGTGAGATTCAGGCCTTCATGGCACCTAACCTGTCTAAATCTGAACCAGTTTCACATTATTTTRTTCAGTATAAATCACCTGCTGTGGTAGCCTACTGCTCATCAGTGGTTTGTCCAATGGAAGAAGCAGTCTACCTTGATATCCATTTCAAGCTATGAAACTAAGTCATTTGAACAACTGTTTACCTCTGATTTTGCTCTCTGTTGGTTTAGTTCCTTTTCTACGTAGGTGCAGCCTATAAAGGCCATTCTGTTGCTTTTAAGCACGAGAAAAAAAAATGTTGTGTGGTTTTTACAGTGCAATGAAAAACTGAAAAATGAAAAATTAAGTGAATTGTCCTAGGTTTTATAGCACATTAGGAATGTGTTATAGCACATTAGGAATGTGTTAGAAATACTCTAAACTGTTGATTTTTCAGGATTACCTTTAACTCACTCATGTTTTTTCCTTCTGAAAATGCAGATTGCAGTAGTGAGTGTTCTGCAGCCAACAACCAGATCTGTGTGAAAGAAAACGGGGTTCCAGCATGCAAATGTTTGGACAACTTTGAAAGGAAGGACAACCGATGTGTGGCGTGAGTACTCAGTTTCTTCCCAGGTTATATGGAAAGATAGGGCAGAGGAACATCTAAAAGAGGGTGAATTCTTAGAGGAAAAGCCAGAGGCTATGCTAGTCAGAGAGATGGTTGAAGTGGTCAGCTCGTGGACAGGTTCCTGTGGTGTCACAAGTTTGGGCATTTCATCTGCTTGGCGTTAGTCTGGATATCCTGACAGATATCCTGGAATCTTTATGTGCCTCGTAACACCTCAGAGGAAACTCAAGGGGATCAAAGGTCATCTGTGAGTCAATGTGGAGGACAGGCCACCTCACACTTACTTTATTGACTGGCCACATGAATGTCACCTATTCCCTCAGAGTAATGATCCATAGGAACTTGGATGCTGAAGCCTTTTAGTAAGCATAAGTCATAGAGCAAAAAGTGCCTGAAGGTTCCCCATTGATATCTGCAGAGATTCTGTTCCCTGATACATTTTGTGTCTCTGTTATTTCAGTTTTCCCTCTGTGGGCATTTCTGTCAGCTCAGGATCAGAACAGAGTAGTGGGTTTTTGTTGGTGGAGTTGAGTAGGTCACCAGTTGGGCTGCACTCCCGTGGGTCAACAGCAGGACCTTACTCCCACATCTATGAGTTCAACTCYTTTTGTTCTTGCTGCTGTATGTGCAGAACAGAACCACTTTTATCTTAAAATGAGTATAATCTAAGTGTGAAAAATGAGAGGAAATGGGAGAATGTGAGGGAAATGAAAGGCTGAGACCACTGACAAAGACTGTGCTTTTCACCCATGGGTAGCAATTCCAAGCAGCTCAGAGGTGTAGGGTTTAGCTCTTTTGGAGAAATTAGGTGCTTTTAACATATTTCAGGCTGAGAATATGAAACTTTGAATGCCCAGCTCACCAATCATACTGAAAATATCAGAAATTTATGCTCCTCGCTTGTTTCCCGCTAACAAATGAAACAAAATGAATTGTTATTAAGATGGTATAACAGAGGAAAGCCATGATGAGCACACCTTGCAGAGAAATTGTTGGTAAACAGTAAAAATATGCAACTGCTTTGTGATCATCTGCTGAATGATATTAATTGTCTTTCTTTTGTTTGTTTCTTTCCCTTTTTGTTTTTTTAACTCTCATGCAGTTGTGCAGTGGGGTACTCTGGAGAGAACTGTAAGAACAGTAAGTACAAGAATTTCTCCTGTTTAGTTACTGCATGGGGAAAATCTCAATGATGTTCATTCTGAACAGAAAGCTGAGATAACAAAAACAAGTAGCAGCCTTTAGGAGCTACTGTCCTATATTGATGACAAGAAAATGTTAGAGAAGGATGAGTGATATTGCACTGCTGCCTGGAAGGAAAAATCCTAATCAAATCCCATGTTCAGGCAGATAGTTGTATTTCATCAAATGACACCTGCATTAAGCCCTATAGCTTTTAGTCATACACAGGTTATTTGCAGAAAAGCATTTAGTCCTCATTTGAAGATATCTTGCAGAGCTGAAGTTGTCACTACTGATGGATTAATTACTCCTGTCTATTTAGCATCAGTAAATTACTCTAATCTGAAATGTTCCTGCTTTAATATCCAACCCTCGATTCTTTATTTGTGCTTTACCTTGCCAGTGCTGCATAGCATGTAGTATTCTTGGTGTAGAAATGATGGCCCTTATTGTGTCATCTCATAATTATATTAGTTCGGAGGAGTGGACTTCCATTTCCCCCCCGTTCTGAGTCACTTTTACAGCTTTTATCAGTCCCTATTCCACTTTCCACTATCATACAGATAGGAAAAGGCATCTGTCCCTGCCTTGTGTTTGCATGTGCCTAAGGTGAGAACATCCAGTGCAGACAAAGGCAGTCTGAAAAACAGCACCTGTGATTCTGTGCTTCTCACAACTCCCCTGGCTTTGTTTGAACAAACGGTGTAACATTTCCCCTTTGAAAGCCCTACAAATTCTCATGCTGCTCAGTCTTTCAGTGGTATGTGCTTAACCGCTCCATGTCTGCAGCTATGAGATCTTCAAGGTTTTTCCTTCTGTTCTTGTATGTGTGTATGTGGGTATGTGGGAGTGTGTTTCTTGATTCTTTTTGTCTCTCCTTTTTTTTTTCCTTTTTTTTCTGCTTAAAAAGTTTGGAGATTGGCTAACAGTAGTCATAGTGCAGCACAAAGAAGAGTACAGGTGTAAATGTTTCACAGGAAGGGTATTTTTCATCCCCTGAAATGTTTTCCTTGAGAAAGTTTTGGGAATCTTAATGCCCCTTGACTTGTTCTTTAACCACAAAGTTATGTTGTCTGCACAAAAAGCAGAAGAGGCTCATTGTTGTAGACTGATTTTGTTTTTCCTTGTTACTTTGTAAGGGCAAAATGGGAAGATTGCATGTTTTTTTCCACTTTCCTGGCAGTTTCTTCACAAAAGAAACAAGCATTCTCACTTCATCCCTCTTTTCCCTTTTTTTTTTTTCTTAAGAGCAACAGCAGAGACTGTCCTTGGCCTTCAATACTTGCTTTGAATTTTCAATTGCTCTTTCTTTGTTATTTCCAGATAGCAAACTCATCCTTATAATAGTGGGTACAGTGCTTGGAGCCATTGTCTTGATTTTCCTGATAGCAATCATTGTCATCTCAACAAGGTAAGCCTATTTCTGACAATTGTATCAAAGCAGCATTGCTGCATTTTCCTAGAGAGGAAACTTAGAGAGAGGGGCAGGAATGTGACCGTGCTCTGGGCCCACAAGATCATTAAGACATGTGGCCATTAGGATTTGTTTTCACCTATGTACTCTCCACACAAATGTTAATTCTTTTGCTGTAAATTAGATCCTGGATGCTTCAAACAAGGCTTTCCAAATACACACCTGACCTATAGATGAAAATCCCACCCTAGCCAATACTGTTAGTGCACCTGATGCAAGGGCACTGATMTAAGGAAAATGCATGGTCCAGATTCAGTCCTCTGCCTTTGCTCTTGGTGCTGCTCAGATGAAGGCTCCCACTCATCCTCCCATCGTGGAGTGTGCACTGAGTGTGCAGGAGAGGAAGGGGCTCGTGGTGATCAGCACAGGCAGCGCAGGGCACCATTTCTAAACTGGACCTAATGAATGTCTTATTTCCTCCTCTGGAAAGCCAATTACAGCTGGTGTCAACACCAACCGTACCATTTGCTCCAGGGACTAGCTGAAAAGGTCAAAGTCCCCCTCTGTCTCTCCTAGCAGCTTTGCCCCGTAAGAGGTGCCAAGCTTTGCCTTCTGTTGCTGATAACAAGGGTTTTGCAATAGGCATGCTAGAAAAAAAAATCTGTTGCACATTTCAGAAGGGGACTGGCCATTGAAAATAAGGTGGGAGGAACAACTGAGCATGGAAGGCACACTAAAAGATCTTTTGAAACCTCCTTTTGTTGTTTCTGAAGATCCAAACACAAAAGAGATCCAGAGAGGAAGAGTCTGATAAAGTCGGGATATTTAAACTCGGAAGGCGCTGGCAATACGCAGACCAGGATGTTCCCCAGAGTGCAGACTACGAGTGGTCACGCGAACCCGGGATATGAGCCAAACAACCCTTACGAGATGGATTACTCGTCCAGGAGTAGCGCTTTGGAGCGGGAATATGATGATGAGGTAAATGTTCACAGAGGGCTGGGGTAAACGTGTCCCCGCGCTGTAGTGTGGAGCCAGAGTGGTGGCTCCTAAACTCCATTCACCTGCCTTAGATCCAAGAGGCCAAAGTGCCTTAAAGACCAATGGGCTGGGAATTCTCCGAACTCGGAGAATCCTGCTTCTGCTTCACAACAAGGGCCTGTGCAGTCACAGCAGTGCCTAAGGTGCAAAGTGCCTTGGAAGAAGCACAACTGTTGGATGGCCAGAGCACAGGGCTCCTGTTGAGCAGAGCCGTGCCTCCGGCTGGAAAGTGCCTCCCGAAAAAGCACCTATGTTTTATCCTTGTYCTCTGCAAGGGGCTGTGGAAGGAGCAGGGTCCTTGAGAAATGACATGGAGATTCACTGGATCCTGCTTGCATCCAGTAAACAGGACGCGTGTTGCCCAATCGGGGCTTTGTTAAATTGATATTTTTGGATATTTTACTATTCCTGGTTAGTGAAGAACGTCTATTTAATTGCAACACGCTTAAGTGTTTTGCAGAATTGAGGCCAAAACCCCAAATATGAGCAACCCAGTAAACATGCTGTTTTATTAAAAGAAAAAAAAAAGGCTTTCTAAAAATTCTTCCAATAAAAAGAGAAAAAACATATATACTTTTGCTTAACATATGTACAGTTGCTTAATCAGAATCACGTGGATTCTGACTTCTCTAATTTTCAAAAGATTTTGGCTGGAGAAAATCTGTCCTTAAAATACATTTGGTTTTCCATTAGGTCTGATGTTGCTTGGTGGGAGAGCCACCATGTGCAGGATGTCACATCCTGAGTTATTCTGAGAAGGAGGCATTTTGGCCCAGAACTCTCCTTATTTCTTTTCCTGTACAATTTCTTTTCTAGTATGAAATCGCAAAGGAGCCTGACGGATTTCGGCTGCAGCGCAGATACTGAGTGACCGGAGCTGCAGACGGATGAAGGACCACTGCAACAACAGATCAGACCAAAGGTTTTTACGACCTCTTACTTCAGCTGCAGGAACAGCCAAGTCCATAGTACCAGATTCTCTGAGGACTTTCTAAATGACGACCGCTTCTTGAAGGAGATAATGCACAGTAACTTGCTGAAATAAGTGAAAATAAAAATGAAGCAGAGAGTAGGGAGGAGAAGGGGACATCAAGAAAACCCCMAAAACCCAATGTGCCTAAACATCAGACTGCCTTAAGGAGGCCTAGTCACTGGAGAGTGGATGTAGGCAAGATACCAAGGTGTTAATCCTGTTGTTTTTCAGTTCTTCCCAAAGAAGAAGCCAATATATGACGCTGGTATATGCCAATATATGATGCCTCAGTGCATGATCTGTCATCCATGTCAGCCAGTGGCAACCTGCCCAGCTTTGAACAGTCAGGACATTGCCAAAAACCCACAGGATCAAAACTGATCTTTATGTGACCCTAAGCTCCTTCTCTTTACTGTATGAGTTACCATCTTTTGCCCTCATTAACAATATCTTCAAACTGTTTTTCTTCAACTTGCATGACTAGATTGCTTTTACGTTCTCAACTGYTGTGAAAAACATTGTGGGTCTTTTTGAGTTTCACACTCAACTTTTGATGTTATTATCTCAGCTCTTTTTATTTTTCATTTATTATATATGCTCAATCCTTCTGAAAAAGCGCCCATATTTTACTGYGTAATTGCCTGTACATTTACACTATCCATTGGCTAGCATTAGCATTTCTTGTACATAATATATATATGCCCACATATGTACATATATTTATAGGCTAACTTCATCTAAAGTACAGATTAATTTTGTGTTTTATTTTCTTTTTTTTTTTTTTTTGATATGTACAAATTAACTTTTCCTAATAAATGTGAAATTTCTCAGTTCCAAGGCTTTCCTCTGTGGCTGCCTAGTGGTCAAATATTTTTGTTCRTTTATTTTACCGATTCAGGGACTATTTTATATTAAAACTTGTAGGGGTGAGGTGCAGGTGTGCACAGATTGGTTGGMTCCACATTTGCCTGTCACTAAGAAGAGCCAGTCAGAAATATTATTAAACCTCAATGAAATGAAAAYGCTTATTGATGTAGGGCTAGCACCCACTGTCTGTGGCAATTTTCAGTGGGAAYGGGGTGGGTTAATGCAGTTAGGTCTCCTTTGAAAATCCTGGCAAAGCTACTAAAGTGCCAGGCAGTTTCTCTCTGTTGTGTTTCTGGTTTTGCAATGTTCACGGGCAGAATTTATTTATTTCCAGTCTGCTCCTGTCACCTTCGCTGCTGTCACCTGCCTGAGCAGCGCCTGCTGTTTGTAGGTGCCACAGGGTCCAGGCCCTGGTGGCTCTGGCCACCCTGAACCAGCTGGGTGCATTTCAGCGTGTGCAATGTGACATTTACTCCATGTGAGCTAGCAGGACTTAGCTGCTTAGGACAGATTATTCAAAGGAGGGTAGAAATTTGGTCACATTTTCTTGACTTTTCCTCTGACCCTTCAGCGCTGGGTTAGGACTGTACCTTTGTGGTGCACACAGAGTTCAACACCAAAAACACTTAAGCTTAGTACGTGCTTTTGCTTTGTACAGCCAGTTCCTTCTTGACCCTTTTCAAGGCTGAAGCTGGTGATTATCTTGAGTCTAATAAAAATATCTATCTATAGCAAGAGTATCAGCCCCCAATCTTCTATCAAGATAAATTGCCAGGTTCATCAGCATGGTGTAAAAGATTCCTTAAAATACAAATAACTTACAAATAACTGCAGCCAGTTACAGAAGGGCATGAAAAGTCTTTCAACCGTTATCTGTTTATTTTGCAATGAGGTAGGTTGGGAAAGAYAGCTGAAAGATCAACCGTAAGCGAAACTCCAATGCAATAAAACTTTAATGAGGGCGCAATATCTGGGAATTCAGTGTCAATGGTAATAAAACACGAAGCGGGAATAGTCAGGTGTGTGCGTCATGTAACGCCAGAGGAATTTTCATTGCTCTCGTTCAAAGCACAGTTCTGCAGCTGCACCCACTGCACTCGCCATCTCACCACCCGCGTCCCTTTGAGCCTCTGTCTCTCAGATTTGGCTTCAAACTCATGATTCTTCAGCATTTCAAGGGCTGCWACAGCTATTTTGTCTGGGTTCAAATTCTGTGGCCAAAGGGTGAACTGGGAGGGAATTTACCCCTTTCTGGGTGTTTACAAAGCATGGTTGTACATGGGGAGCAAACCCCATGCAACCCTCTCACCTTAGTGTGAGCAACAGGGTGAAAGGCCCAGGGAAACCGTATGTGTTTCCACGCCAGCCTCTCCCATCCGTCAGCACACTGAGGTGCAGGKTATCCGGCTGCCACGTCACACACGGATGGGGAGGAGGAGGAAGAGGATGTGCTGCTTCACCAGCCACCTGCTTCCAACTCAGCCTGAAAACTGCGCTGGAGATGTTTCTTAACCAGTGCTTGACCAGGGACAGAAGTTTGGGTGGTCACCTGCTTGCGTAGAGGTGCTGGGGTAGCTTGAAGCACAGGCAGTGCTCAGGTGTCTTGTCCGCCTGTGCGCAGAGCCGGGTGACGCATGCGGGAGCTGGGTGTCCAGCCTGGCACGTGAAAGGCAGCACCTTCCCGCAGCGAAAGCAGGAAGCATTTCGTGTTTATTTACCTGCTGGTGAGACCTGCTGGTTTCTTTCACGAGGCCACGTGTGCACAAGGCCGRCGCGTGAGCGGCGTCACCAGCGGGCTGGGACGTGCGGTGGGAGAGGCGGCTCTCCCAYGGAACGCGTGTCCGGGGACTCGGCTTTTCACTGCTCGCCTGCCACCCTGGGGCTCGAAGGGGTCAGTAGCTGTGTCCGCAGCAGCTGCTGGTGAAAGCAAAGCAAACAAGCAAAAATTCATATAGAAAACCTCACGAGAGTCTGTGCTCAGTTGTCTTTGATTCTCACGGAGGCCGGGAGAAACCCAATATCCTGAAATTCCTCCCCATCTCCAGGCTGCCCCAGCTGCTCCCAGAAGGTGCAGCTCTGCTGGCAGATTCTCCTGCTCAGGCCATGCCCAATGGATAGGCTCTGTCTGCTGCATTTTTCCTTCAGAAACATGGCCTGAAGGCAGGATCCAACAGCATTTGGCTCCTCCTGAGTGGAAAGGAGCCTCCCCTCATGTTTCCAGTGGCACCTTCAGGCCAGGGCCCTTTCCCGAGCGCTACAGGAAGGAAAAAGCTGACGGATAAAATCATGGGCACAGATCTATCATATCTAGGAGTAAAATAAAAATAAGTGGGAAGTAAAAGAGGAAGGGACTGTAAAAAGTGCCCGGGATCACATGCACCCCTGAGCTAGCACGTGCTATTGCCCCTCCTGCAGCAGACCCATGGGCAGCCCGCTCCGAGGGGACATTTCTCCTGTTCCCTGTCTTTCCTGGCGCCAGCCCTGCCTGAAGGGTCGTGCCCGGGTGTGTGTGAGCTCTGTGCCTCCTTTGCCCGAATTACACACAGGTTGCTCATCAACCATGAAGAGCCAGGGTGAAGGGCTGCACGCCGGGCCRAGGGAAGTTTAGCCAAAAACAGCCTCGTAAAACAAATGGAGTGTTTTCACAAGCAGGAAGCTCAGAAAAAAAAAATGCAAAGTGCTTCCTGCTTTGGGGGCTGGAAAGTGCTGCCTTTCATGTGCCGACCTCCAAATCCAACCTCACCTCCAAAACCAACCTCGCCGGGTTTCTTCCGCACCTTTCCTGTGGGAGAGCAAAGTTAGCTGCTCACCAAGGTAGCGGCTCCAACCCAGCACCTCCTGGTGGAAGCAAAGCAGCCTGCAAAGAGCTCCTCACYAGCCCCATGCCTCCTGCAGTGACCACCGAGGTGGGATGACCTTGGGGGACCATGGGCAACGGGGCTACCTACCCACTGGCCACGGCCTGGCCTGAGTGGTGGGAAAGGGCCTCCTTGGCAGAGATCTCCTCAGGGAAGTGGTGGGACTTGCAGGGCCAGAAAAGGAGGAAAGGGGAATCTGATCCTTTTTCCACATTTTTTTTTTTTTTTTTTTTGTCTTGGTCTGAAACGCTAATACCTCTGATAGCAATTTGAGGGATACTTACCCCAACCTTTTCCCCCAAAGTTTTCCCACTTTGTGCTTCACTGTGTCCTCTGCCAACCACTTCCAACAGTGACATTAGCAGCACTACTGGTTGTGCTTTGGTGGGCTGAGGAGACGATGGGGGAGGACATGGAGAGCTCTCCAGCTTTCCGTGGCAGCTCCTTGCTGCCTCCAAGGGGTCTTCTTCCTCCGTGCCCTTGATGGGTGTCATTCCTACTCAGCTCGTGCTTTTGGAAATGAGCCTGGTTAAATATTAGAGAACTTCTGCCACTCCTCTGGTCGTCAGCACTTGGGTGCAGCTGCGAAGAGAAGATCTGCATGAATGAGACCCGGAAAGCATTGGACTTCTCAGAAGAAGTCTTTGATCTCCACCGTACCGATCATTTTATGTGGTAGATTAACCAAAATACACAACAGCATATTCCAGAGGTCCTAACAGGAAACTCCCACATCCTGGACTCTTCTTTTTCTTTTTAATGGTTTATATTTAGGACATTTAATAGCGTTAACATAATACTATAGTGATGAAGTATTTAATTCCCTCTCCAACAGTGGAAGGTTGAAAATGGTGGGAATTGAGGGTCAAATACAGGCAGGTATTTCAGTGCCTAACTTGTTCTGAAATTAATAGGAGTTAGGGTCCCTGAGGAGGGATTTGTGGATCTGGGCTGATATATCATGCCTATAAAACATGCAGGGCTTGTGTTGCACATGTGTAGCAGTAAGTTATTATTCTTTCAAAAGAAATCCTTCCTTTTTTATATTGTTCTCATTTTCTCAACTGTTTTTCCTTTCAAAGGCCACAAAGAGTTTTCTGTATGAACAAAACCTGTGGCAAGATGACTATGCTATGCTGGGCAAAACCTATTTTACATAAAAATAAGCAAGAAAAAAAAATAAAAATTAAAATAAAATTAATTAAAAATCCACCTTTCAACTTTTTTTTTTTAAATCTGCATAGGGCATTAGGAGGCCCAGACCACATGGCTTCAAGGTGATTTTTTTTCTTTGCCAAGCCCAGCTTTTGTACCCTCAGAGCACTCTGTTCGCTCAACCTTCCTGCTCAAGCAGGCACACCTAGAGCATGTGGCACAGGGTGGCATCCAGGTGGGTTTTGAAGACCTCCAGAGAAGGAGACTCCACARCCTCCCTGGGCAGCCTGTTCCACTGCTCACAATGTCAGTGGGAATTTTGCCAGTGGCTTCAGCAGAGCCAAGACCCACTGCCTTTGTCTGTTGACATATTAAACTATATTTAAGGAAGTTTCCCCCACATACACATGTGCGAAGGGAGTATCTTTGGGGTTTTCACCCCATGTGCATTTTACAACAAGCCTCTGCTACAACGGCACAATGAATGATCTTTCTTGGGTCTTTCTATCCCAAATGGCCCCAGTTTATCCGAAGCAAGACCCGCACTAGAAGGGAAGGGTTTTTTCGTGCACCGAGGCCAGCAAACCCTTCTCCACAGCTTTGCTGCTCGGTCAGGGCTCTGGCCACGAGATGGTGCTGGCACTTTGCAGTTGACGGAGAGGCCAGGAGAAATGGAAGAGTTTTTGAGGCGCAGCTGAGGCCAAGCATTAACAGGGACCGGGGCAGCTCACGTTTCACCCCKTCTTGTGCCTCAGCCTGTCCCTGGAAGGGCCAAGCTCCTCACCCAAARTAGCCCTTAGGGCAGCCCTCTTCCCAAAAGAAATGCCTGGAGCTCTGCCGGTGCTGGAACGTGCCAAGTTCCAGCTGGATCCCTGGCCCCTGCCTGCAGAGGGA